TGCTGCATTAGTCGGACAGACTAGACAGCAACGTGCATTGCTGACTGCACTGTTTGAGCTCAAAATAGAAATCTCAGTTAAAAATATGGCATTTAGTAAGTGCAGCTAAACCAAACCAATTCTATGTTCTGCTCTGCAAACCACTGTCTGAACTCCTTTTGTGTCCGAGCACTAGCTTCATACACACCTAGGAAAACACACAAAATGCAGAATGAAGAGATTATTCAGGGCAACCTGTTAACAGTGATCTGCAAGAGATGGCACATTTCATTTCTGTCTTCCTTTGTAAAGGAATGAACAGTGCAGAGTGTTTATTAAATTACAACATGTTATGTAATCTAATTAATTTCAAAATGTTCTTTTCAAGCCTGCAATCTTTGCCACTCTATCTACCAAAGCTGCAGATTTTACCAATGTTTTACAGAGCTCTAGCTGCACACATGAAGACAGAGAGTCTTTATCGCAAAACAATAAGCACCTCTCCATCTATTTCTAGGAAATTAGTTACTTCCAGTTTCCTGGTGAGTTACTGATGAGGATGCTGAAAATGTTGATTCTCCCACTAGTTGTCTCAAGGTAAGTGAGAACAATGATTGTTCTGATGACTCCTGAAGTTTCCTAAATGAGGCATGACATCAGCACTGTTTTAATTGTGATTGAATGAAGTGGCAGTGCCAGAGGCATTACTGATGGCTGTGCATTTGTGTTTATAGTGGGCATGATTTTTAATCGATGGGATCATTTCTGCAGTACCTCATATAGGTATTATTTGCTTTAAATTGAATGTGTTGAGGTTTTGGGTTTAATTTTTTTCTTTTTCCTTTGTAATGAGAGGACTTCTTTTCTTCAAGCTAACTAGAAGTTCAATATATGGAATAAATAACCCACTTTATCAAAAGCCTACCTTAAATCTAAACAATTGGAAAAATACACTATGGAATTAAGGTTTAAAAACACAGTTCATGTGTTGTCTCCTGCGGTATTTTGAGAGACCTGCTGTGGTATGATGAATATTGAAAAAAACCTTTGTCTGCAGTGAACTAATAATATAAAACTGCCTTCAGCTGGAAGTGAAAGTGATTGCTTAGTACATGAAAGGTATAACCTTTAATGGTGTCACTTTAGTGGTAGCAGATCCAGATCCTGGTACTGATGGATGATGCATAGTAACTGTCTTTGCACTGGGAGGGCAAAGTTAGAACAGGTTTTTCTCATCTCTAAGTTTTAGTGTCTTCCAAGTGACTACAGTCACAAACACACACCAGTTGAATGGCCAGAAGCTCTCTCATGTGCCCAAGGCTGAGAGAAGATATAAGGAGAGATGGAGAATAACAAGACTAGCTTGACAAGACCTGAGACAAAAATTATTGCAGTATTTGGGGCCTTTGCTTGAAGTCTCAGCTTCTGGAATCTAATACATACACCAAAATCTCATCTTCTACCTTAAGAAAAAAATAAGTTTCTAGACTTCAGAACACTGAGAGTTGCTGAAAATTAACACAACCAAGCACTAACTTAATTTTAAATTATCTACCTTTACATCTGCCTCCTCATTGTTTTCCACAGAACAAAGCTGAGTCATGGTGTTTTGTGCTTGAAACTGTTGGTATAATCATAGGCTCATACCTGGTTCTGTCCCATGCAGCCAGAGAACACCAACACAAAACGTGTTAGGACTTTATTTTTTGAGAGGTGGAAGGAGAGTTTTCCAAAGAAAACAAGAATCTCACATGAGGAAATGATGTAGTAAGGAGGACAGAAGAGGGTTGAAGCAGAGTCACATGCCCTTCCCTGAAGTCTAGAGTTGGTTAGATCCTCTTGTATCGTTCAGAGATGTTCAGAGGGCCAACAGCATAGTAGGGAAGAGCTGTTCTGACACAGCCTGTGATGGCTCTAGGTTACCTACAGATGTGTCAGGAATGAACCTCTGAGCCTGAGAAGAAAGTTTACAGACCTTCAAAGGGATTAACTCTCCTTGCAAGACAATATAAGTCCCTCTCCCTCTATGACAAACTAACCATCACTTGCTATTTCATACCGAAATGTCAGGTTTTTGCACGCAAAAACTACTCCAGGTGTAATTACATTCTTGTCCAGTTCTATTTTTTTTTTGCTTTTACAAGTACAGTATTTCCCACACATACAGTTCATAAAATCAGTAAACATGTGCTCTGTATTTTTACTAATCTGCATGCACATTCAAACAACATTTCTTCACGGATTTGAAGTATTCTCAGCCCATCCTGCAGGAGCAATGACATTTAAATTACCTTTGAAATTATTCTCTGTTATTGTTTACAAAAGCCAGGGGTACAGCACCAGAAAAAGATCTCTAAATGTTGCTCTCCTAGTTGAAATAAATGCAACGTTTTCCTTGAACACACAAGCAAAGAAATTACTCGTAAAGAAAAGGAAAGGTGAGAAAGGAAGATTAAAAGAAGCACTCAGTGCATAATACCCTGTCTCCAAGTCCAGATTTCATCTTAAAGAGTTGTAGCAGACAGTGGCAACTGTGTGGGTCATAAGACTGAAAATAGACTAAAACATCTCTCACTAGCACAACCTTAAATAGAAATGGCTGAAAATTTGTATTCTGCTTCTTCTGACCTGATAGTTAGAGAGTTAAACCAGGAACTTTGCAGGCTGTATCCATTAGGGTTGGGAGACTGATAATATAGTCAAGTATCTCTGAATAGTGTTTATTTTAAAAGTTCCTTGGAAGCAGAAGTCAGTCAAACAACATTGAAGTTTTTCAATGTACCATTCCTTGTTTTGCCTAACTCTGTCCTAGCACCTGGAATTGTTGGATACCATAGGTCCTGAACCTGTTTCTGATGTCTTCTATCACCTGTGCTCTTACTTTTTATTTTCTCACAGACAATCTTGAAAAAAGTAACTCCCACCCACTATCTTGCATGAACCCACTATCTTGGTTTTGTTGTGGCATGGACCTTCATTAGGGATAGGGGCTGATATTATTTCAGTTATCTGGTTACATAAACAAGCTTCATAGCATCATAGAATGACTCTAAAATAAGTATATATTTATTGCACCTGTCCTCTGCCTGAGGCTTACCCCTGCTCATAGCTATTAGTATCCTGTGCCTTGTGTATAGCATTCACTTTTCTCAGCTATGAGAACAGATACCCACACTGTAAAATATGCCACTTCTGTTGGCAACATAAAGGAAAGATCTATGACAAATAGTCTGCCAGTTTGTGTCTGCCCTAGGGATGCTCAGTAGTGGAGTATTACAAGATCAAATTTTAGACCCTGTAGTTACCACAAGTACATTGCTTACTATGTCTATAAACATAGGATACTATTGTTAAACCTGGAAATGGGAATATTAAGACAGCTCAGAGAGAACAGGAGCCAAATATGAATTCATAGTTACACATTTAGGTGCTGCCTAAGCTCTTACTGCAGGTGGATGAGATGTCCTCAACAAGTCTGAAAGGTCGACTGTAGGAGATCTGAAGTTCCCTGATTCTCTTTGAGACAGAGGCTTTGATCCTCATGCACATAATATATTTCTTCCTTACATGCCAAAGTTTCAGCACATATCTCAGGTTTTCTAACAGGCAGGAGCACACTTGGCCGTGGCAGAGGTGACTCTCAGTTCATCCTGCCTTGAAAGTTCTTGCATGTTTAAAAAAACGAATCCAGGTCTTTAGATCCCTGAACCTGCTGAGGTTTGTTCCAACACCTTTCCCTGCTCCTCCTGCCCTGCCCGGCGCTGTGCTACAGCCTGCGGCCACCGGGTGGCTCTGCTGGGAGGCCGAGGAACGCTCCGGACTCCGGTGCCTCCCTGCATCCCGGGATTTGCCGCTACCACTGCTTGGGGCCCTGCATCCCAGGGGTTTGGAGGTTCCACTGCCTGGGTCCTGCATCCCAGGGGTTTGCTGGTACCAGTGCCAAGCCAGAAAATAATAAACCCTCCAATCTCTTTCCC